TATCTTCCTTATATGAATATGTATACAGACATACATATACGTGGGGTGGATTGTAGGTGGGTACCTTTTTAATCCCCATATTTCAGATGAGAGAACTGAGTCTCAAAGAAGTTGGACCAGGAGATAGTAAGCTGGGTCTTGAACTCTATCCTGTCTGGCACTGGAGCCTAAGCTCTCTAACCACTATGCTCTGCTGCCTCCCAAAACATGGGCTGTTTTAAAGTTTTCATTGTGTGCCAAACTGGTGCTGTGACTGAGGGAGATGAGAAGATAGGAAGGCACAGCACGTAAGAAGGAGAATGATAGATGCTGGTGAGAGGCGCAGGGAAGGTATGGTGAGGATCCCAAGGAAAGGGAGGTCTTATCTTGGAAGATTACGGAGGCTCCCTGGAGGAAGGAGTATCTGAAGAGGAGGGGTGGGGGCAGATTCTAGGCATGCAGGAGTGGTGAGGGAAGGAGTGTCAGGCTGAGAGCTCTGGGTGCACAAGGAGAGGAGGCCCTCGTGGAGGCAAGAGGGCTGCATGGGCCCTCAAGGTCATCTCTCCTATCCCTCGTTGTCCGCTGATGGCTTCCAAATCTATGTATCCAGTCCTGACCTTTCTCCAATCTCCAAACTCTTATTAACTAGTCGGATGTCAAATAGGCATCTCGAATTTAACACGGCCAAAATAGGGCTTCTGCCCCACCTCCCTAACACACACAAACCCAAAACCGCTCCTCTTCCAGTCTCTTCTGCTTTGGCACTACCAACCACCAACCGCTCAGGCCTCAAATCTCAGCATCCTTCCTCCCTCCCTTTCCCCACGTCCGATCCATGAGCACATCCATCAGCTGCATCTATAAAGCACCTCTTCTGACCACCTCCCACCTCCTTTCTCACCCGTGAACAATTTGATCTTTTTTAAAGTCAAGCTCTCTGATTCATGGGAAAAAACCCTTACAGTGGTCCCTATGATCTGGCCCTTGGATATCTCTTTGGCCTCACCTGCTGCTACCTTCCCCCAGCTCATTCCTGCCAGCCACACCAGCTTTCTGGCTTAAATACTTCAGGCTCACTCCTGCCCCGGGGCCTTTGCAGTGGCTCTTCCCTTTACCTAGAACACATTTCCACATGGCTCCTTAATCTCTGCTCAAATGTCCTCTTCCTATCTTAAATTGCAGCTTCTGCACTCTGACCCTCTCGATTCCTCTTTCCTTTTTGTCTTACCCTTCCTCCCTCCACTTCCCACTAAAATGTAAGCATTTTTGTTTATTCCCTTCTTTATCCCAAGTACCTAAGATAGCATTTGAGAATAGGTGCTCAATGAATATTTTTTAAATGAATTTAAAAAATCAGTGTACTCCCCCGTTTAAAATTTTCATACTCATGTAGGAAGAATCTCACATCCTTCACATGCTTACACAATTTTTCTGGCCTCTCAGACTTCATCTTTCTTTTTCTCCTAAATGACTGTGCTCCAGTCACACTGGCCTTGTTTCTAGTTTAGCTTTATCCTACCCCAGGGCCTTTGCACATGACATTGCCACTGCCTGGGATCTTCTTATCCTAGATCTTTGCATGGCTGACTCCCTTTTGACTCCCTGAATGACACCTCCTAGAGACCCTTTCCCTGACTTCTCTAAAAAAGTAATACCCTCACCAAACTCTCAACTTTCCCTGCTTTATTTTCTCTATAGCACATGCCACTCTCTGAATTATTTATTTGTGTTTATTGTCTCTGGCTCCCCTGATTTGACTATTAGTACCTTAAGAGCAGGGATGTTCACAGCCTTGTTCACTGCTGTATCTCTAGCACCTATGATAGTGTTTGGCATATACTGGGTGCTCAGTAAATATTAATTGACAACATGAACGAATGAATGAATGAATGAATGACTAAATGAAAGAAATACAACCGAGGGAGATAGAGGATTCCTCAAGGTCACTTTGCTGCTGGTGGTGCCCTCACGGGCCTGGCCTCTGCCTCTGTTTCCTTTACCCCCTTGCCATCGCGCTTCTGCCTGTTCACCATCGTTCCCCCGACCCCAGCTATCGCAGCTGAAAGCACGCTGGGAAGCCCCTCCGTGGATGGTTGGAGCCCTCTGGTCCCACGCAGTGAGAGCACGGAGGAAATCTCCAGCTCTCTTGTCCAAAACCCACCAGCTCTCTGCTCACTGCTGGGGGCATTGCCACTATTGCGAAGGGACACAAACTGTTTCTTTCTGAAAAATGGCCTCTCCAAAGCAAGCCGACTGCTAGTGCTGGTGGTGAAAGGGAACAGAAGGGTCCACGCAAGTGCTGGCTCTTACCTGGCATAGTAGCAGCCCCCAGGGTGGCCCCCCACGAGCCTGCCGCCTGGTTTTCATGCCCTCGTGTAATCCTCTCCCCTGGGTGTGGGCTAATCTGGGGACTTGCCTCTAATGAAGAGAATATGGCAAACGTGACAGGACGTCATTTCTGAAATCAGGTTATAAATGGTCAAGACTTCCACACTGCTCACCTTTTCTTGCTTTCTCTGAGGGAAGCCAGCTGCTATGTCGAACGGGCAAGGAACCAGCCTCTCCAGCCAACAGCCTCCCAGAACCAGAGCTCCTCAGTCAGCAGCAGGCTCGGAAGTGGCTCTTCTGGGGCCTGCAGACAGCCACGTGAGTGGGCTTGGAAGCAGTTCGTCCCCACGTTGAGCCTTGAGATGACTATAGCCCCATCCTGGATTACGGCCCTGAATGAGACTGAGCCAGAGACACCCTAAGTCACCCCCGGTGCTTGACCCACAGAAACTGTGGGACCGTAAATGTTTGTTGCTTAAGTCACTAAGTTTTGGAGTAATTTGTTTTGTTTTATCTTTTTAGAGACAGAGTCTCGCTCTGTTGCCCAGGCTGGAGTGCAATGGTGCAATCACAGCTCACTGTAGCTTCGAACTCCTGGGCTCGAGTGATCCTCCTGCTTCAGCCTCCCGAGTAGCTGGGATGACAGACATGCACCACCATACCCAACTAGTTTTTAAAATTTTTCGTAGAGATGGGATCTCGCTATGTTGTCCAGGCTGGTCTCAAACTCCTGACCTCAAGCAATCTTCCTGCCTTGGCCTCCCAAAGTGCTGGGATTACAGGTGTGAGCCAACGTGCCCGGCCACAGAGTAATTTGTTATGCAGCAACAGATAACTAATACACCCAGTTATAGATTTGCAGGATATATTCAGCTGTGTGGAAAGCTTGTGCTATCGTGGTTGCTGTGTTTACAAATTTGGGGACTCACAGATATTAGCACTTATCCCTCCTCAAGAATCTACAACATTTCCTCCCACTCCTTTTATTCTGTTTATGTTTTTAAACAAACTTAATGTCAAACTGTAGTGACAGTTACACACTCTATTTTTCTGTTTCGTATGTCATAAGCATCTTCTTACCTCATTAAATCGTCGTCACAGAATTCTTTATTCTTAGCAGCTCTTCAGGCGTCTGTCACGTGAGCGTACCAACATTAATTTAAGCAATTGCTCCCCTCTCTTGTTTGTTTCGAGCTTAAGGTAGAGTCGTAGCCTCCTGGGTCACGTCTATCAGCGTGTGCCACTCTCCGTTCAGGGCCTGCAGTGAGAGGCCAGGGAAGGCCGAGGGGGAGATTGCCTGCAGTTAAGGGGCTCCTCATTGTTGAACCAAGTCTACACGGTTTCCTGGCTGTGTGACCTTGGGCTCGCTACTTAACTGCTCTGGGCCTCAGTCTTCCCCTTCTGAACAGTGGGGATGATAAGCATGCTTACTTCACAGAGTTACTAGAGGCGTCATTGACTTAATCCAAGTAAAACACAGTGCAGCACCTGACTTACTTAGGGTGTATAGACACAGCCAGGCTACGGTACCCTCATCCCCCACACTGGGTCCTGGTCCCAGTGCCTAATGTCAACTCCTGTCCCAGACTCCAGCCCACCCCCAATCAGCTGCATTTTGGCTTCCTTGCCACCAGCTCACTCACCCTGAAGCTGCTGGTGACCCTGGCTCTGCTGCCATCCACAATCCTTCGGCCTGTCTTTGCTATGTGACCCTGGCATGATGATTAATTTTGTGTGTCATCTTGCCTGGGCCACGGTGCTCGGGTATGTGGTCAAACATTATTCCAGATATTTTTGTGAGTATGTTTTTGGATGAGCTCAACATTAAAACTGGGGGGCTTTGAGTAAAGCAGATTGCCCTCCATGATGTGGGTGGGCCTCATCCAATCAGTTGAAGGCCTGACTAGAATAGAAAGACTGACCTTCCCCAAGCAAGAGTAAGTTCTGCAGCAGATGGCCTTTGAACTTGAACTTGAACATCAGCTCCTTCCTGGGTCTCTGGCCTGCCAGTCCACCCTGAAGATTTTAGGTTTGCCAGCCTCCATAATCATGTGAACCAATTTATTAAATCTCTCTCTCTCTCTCTCTCTACACGCACACACACACACACATGCACGCACACATATCCTATTGGCTCTGTTTCTGTGGAGAACCCTGACTAACACACTTGGACAAGTGCATCCCATCTCTGGGCCTTAGTTTCCTCATCTGTAGTATGCAAGGGAGATTAGGTGGTTCATGAGGGATTGCCCACCTTTAAGATTCTAGACTATTCCCTCTTCTTTCGAAGACCCTTTGGTTTCAACAGTATAGGTACAATTAGAGCTTTAAACAACGAGGCAGGCCAGGTGTGATGGTTCATGCCTGTAATCCCAGTCCTTTGGGAGGATGAGGTGGGAAGATTACTTGAGGCCAGGAGTTCAACACCAGCCTGGGCAACATAGTGTGAACCTGTTTCTAAAAGAAAAAATTTAAAGACTATCTGGGCATGGTGGCATGCACCTGTAGTTCCAGCCACTCAGGAGGCTGAGGCAGGAGAATCTCTTAAGCCCAGGAGTTCACGGTTACAGTGAGCTATGATTGCACCACTGCACTCTAGCCTGGGCAACAGAGCAAGACCCTGCTATATCAAAACAAAAACAAAAACAAACAACTAGGCAAAGCAAAAAGGACTGGAAAACACTTTAATTTATTTGCCATCACATATGTGCTGAGACTTGTGTTCCGCACGCAGGAGTGTGTGAAATACTAACAGTGTCTTGCTTACATGTGTGTGAAAATCTGAGTGAAGAGCTGGGGTTTGTCACCTCAAGCCCACTTAGAGTGCTTGTCCTGGAGTCTCAGCGAGAGCCCCTCTTGCAGCAGACACTGCCGCTGAGCTCCCATCTGGTCCTAGGCTCTGCTCTTCGGCTGCTGTCAGCCCTGGCCAAAGAGCAACGAGGGAGCTGCATAGGAGGGGTCCAAGTAGTGGGAGCCTGGGGACCACACGGGGTCAGGGGTGTTACCAGAGACCTGCTGCCGGGTGCAAATCCAGCTCTTCCCTCATTCTTCCCTCTTGCCTTTTGCGTGTGAGATGAATGGCTCTCCCACCACAGCCTTGGGGGCCCTGGGGAGGTAGGAGGAATTTGGGAAGAGCCAGGAGAGCGGAACCTGCAGAATCTCCCAGAAGCCTTGGTATGGCTGTGGGTACCCAGCCTGCAGAAACCCCAGAGGGGCCTGTTCCAGGACTCTCCCTTACTGCTACCCACAGCTTCAATTTCTTGGCACTGAAAACACTACTTGGGGGGAAACGAGTCCACTTTAGGGCTTCTGCTTGGCCTCTACCCGCCCAGGCTTGATCTCTGGACCGGCCCCAGCGAGGGCGGAGTTTCTGGGGCTGTAGGGGTCCAGCCCGGGGAATCACGAGACAGAGGGGAGAGGCCCTCTGTGCTCCCAGCGTGTGCACCTCCTCGCACTAGCCTCAGTTTCCAGGACTTCAGCCCCTAGGGGACCTGGGCCAGGATCCCACCCGGAGAGGGACGAGCAGACGGTGGTGTTTCAGGTCCCAAGAAACGCTGTGTGACCTTGGACTTCTCTGGGCCTCTGCTTCCTTGTCTGAAAAAGTGGAGTGATACTCTCCATTTCGAGGTTGAAATAAGACAGTGGCAGTGACAGGGCCTGCCACAGCAGCAGGCACTCAGGAAGCTTCCTTTTCCAACGTGCAGTCAGCTTCTCAGGGCAGCCTCCAGGAGCAGTGGAGGAGATGCCCGTGTGCTGAGGCTGCCTCCTGAGCCCAAGGGAGGGGCCAGCCCAGCTCCAGGGACCAGGTTAGAAGTGGACTTGAGCAGAGGAAAGCAGAGGGAAGGCCAGGAGAGGGTGGGGGCTGGGATCCACACCCAACCCTTGCCAATCTGCTGCAGAGAAAGCAAGCTCATGCTCCCTGCTCTGCTGACATGGAAGCCTCAGAGCAGAGGAAGGGTTATGGGGAGAGGACCCCAGCATGCCCCCGGTGGAGCGCACCAGCCCGAGGGGCTGTAGAGGATCAGGTTGGGCTGTGGGGCTGGGCAAGAGGGCACTGAGCTTAGAGGATGGCTCCAGCAGGCTGCAGCCAGTGGGTGAGGCAGACAGGACAGGGCTTGGGGACAGTTGAGCAGGAGATGCAGTAACCACAGCAGTGCCAAGGGACAGCGAGAGCAGAGGGGATGGGAGGAGACAAGGGGAATCGTGAGGCTGTGGACCTGGAGAGAGTTGCTGAGCTGGGGGAGAACAGACTGGGGTCTGGAATAGACCCGGCTGCTCCTGGCAGCCCTGTTTTCCATGGGGGATGGGGACTAGGGGCTTTTCGGCCTGGTTCCAGCAGTCAGGGGACCCTGGAGCCAAGCAGGAAGCACAGTCCATGCAGCACAGGCGCTCATGCATGTGCAGGGTCCGGCTCCACCATGCCAGCTCTGTCTGCAGGGCCTGGATCTCCTTCCGCAGGGCGTGGTTGTGTTTTTCCAGGGACTCGTGCTGCTGCAGCAGAAGCAGATGGGCAGGGAGGGGGCTGTCAGCCAGCATCAGGGACCTGGCATAGGCTCTGTCCCCCTCCAGGGTCCCTAACTTCAGGGATTCACCATCATCTGAATGTCCAAGCTGGGGCCCCTTGGCCACTCTGTGGCCAGCCCTTCACAGCCATGCACCAAGTGTCCCCGTTGCACCTCCTGACTGGGCAGACTGCCTGCTCTCCAGCCCAGCGCTGGTCCCCTGAGCCAGCACCATTCCTCGCCTGGGGTCTCCACCAGCCTCCTAACTGGTGTGCCCCCAAACCACCCCATTCTCTTGCCCAGAGGAGCCATTCAGCAAGTGTGTCATTAATTGTAAGTTACAGCCCTTTAGAGGCTCCCATGACTCGCAGGATCCGAAGTCCCTGTCATGGGATTTGAGGCCTGCAGGGTGGCCTCAGCTCAGACCTCCAGCTTTCTCTCTCCTGCCTTCTTCCTGTCCCTCACATGAACTCTGCTCCCTCACCACGTTTCCTGTCTCCTCTGCCTGGACGCTCTTCCGCCCCCGTCCCCGTGCTAATCCTGACCTGGTCTTCACGTGGTGACTTTGATGTCATCTGTCTTGGACACTTGAGTCTGCTTAATGCCACTGCCAGACCTGCCAGTGCCCAGGACTTGGCCACTGGAGCACTGTGGGAGGATTCAGGGGACCGTTTTACAGGTTGACGCCACGGGTGTGTTCGATTCGGCACCCCCGAATCAGCTGAATGCCGGGTTCTGGGAACCCACTGGGACAGGAATCAATATGCAGCTCTAAATAACCGTTCATGATGGCAAAATGGGAAAATGCAGGAACAATTTGACTTCTATGTCTCATAAGGCTGAACAACTGGAAGGACTTCATCCCGAATCCTTTCCGGATCATTTGGCTGGCTGGCTGGCTTCCCCACGAGAACATAAGCCCTGCGGTGGGGCTGGAGCGCGCTCACAGCTGTGTCTCCGATGCCTCGGCCGTGCCTGCCACGCACGCAATACTCCGTAACAGGCGTCTCGGGGAGGAGTGAATAGAGGAAAGCACGGGGTCTCACAGGCACCGTCCTAGCACCAGTCCTCACTCTCTCCGACTGCAGGGTGCCTGCTGCTCCCTGTACCTGCGCCAGCACTGTTTCGTTCACCCTTGGTGCGTTTTCTTACCTTCATCCTCTGGGAAAACTCCTATTCACCCTTCAAAACCAGCTCAGACTTCATCTCCTCTTTATACTGCCTGATGCCACTACCCATGTGCTATGGACTGAATCGTGTCCCCACCCCCAAATTCATACGTTGAAGCCCTAACACCCCATGGGACCGTATTCAGAGATAAGGTGTTCAGGAGGCAATTTAGATTAAATGAGGTCAGAAGGGTGGGGTTCTGATCCGGCAGGACTGGTGGCCTTAAGAAGAAGAGGAAGGGAGAAAGATGGCGCTCTCCTCCCGCGTGCACTGAGGAAAGGCCTTGAGCACACAGGGAGGAGGTGCCGCCTAGGGAGAGAGCCCTGCCCAGGAACCAAACTGGCTGGCACCTTGATCTTGGACTTTCCCGCCTCCAGAGCTGTGAGAGAGCAATGTCTTCTTTAAGCCACCCAGTCTGTGGTACTTTGCAGATGGGAGTAGAGCTCAGCAAAGGAGGCAAGTGGCAGCCCGGCCTGCACACCTCGCCTTTCTCAACCCTGAGCCAGAGTTCTCCCAGAGTGGTCCTGGCCGCCGCCTGAGTGCTGTCCCCAGGGCGATTAATGACAATGCAGGTTCCTGGGCCCCGCTTGGCCTCATGAGGCGGGACCTGGCGATGGAGGAAGAGTCTGCATTTTAGCAAGGGCCTCAGCTGGCCACCGTGCGGGGCTCTCCCCATTTGCCTCTGCTCCCTGCCTCCCTTCCCCTAGACCCCTAAGGGAAGGGCCGGGCTGAGGATGAACCTTTGTGTCCCCACAGCCCGCTGTGTACCCAGGACATGGTTGCACTCAACACTCAGAAATTCCCCATCCTCAGCACTGGACCCTTTCCTCCTCCCAAAACCAGGCGACAGCAGTTTAGGGGAGAACTGCTCACAGGCAGGATGGAGACGAGGTGGCTGGGCCAGGGGAGTGGAGTCAGGGACAGGAAAGGAAGGCGTCCCCACCTGGTGCAGGGCGTCTGCCTTGTCCGTGTGCTTCTGTCGGCTGCGCTGGGCGGCCGCCCGGTTCTTCTGTTTCTTCTTCAGCTGCCTCTGATGCTCCTCAGGGTCCTGCAGGGGACCAGGAAGAGGGCTCAGGGGTCCCAGCCAGCTCTTTGTACAGCCAAGCCCTCCCTTGAGTCCTGTCTCCGAGGGTCCCCGTTCTCCCTGAGGCCCCTCTTGCTCCCTCAGCGCCCACATCTGCCCATTGCAGGCGCTGCACACCTCGTTGCAATGCCAGCCACCCGTGTCCTGCTCACAGCTCACGCGGGGTGAGGGCGAGCAGGAAAGCTGGGGAGCCTGGGGTTCAAACCCAGACAGGACTGACCTCACACCCCACATTTGCGAAGCCCTGACACTCTGGGCAAGTCACTCACTTCTCTGGGCCCAGGCACCCCATCCCTGCAGTGGTGGCCCCAGGGTGCCTCGCTTATGCGCTGCTGTAGGAGTAGAGAAAACCCACCAAGCAGGCGACTGCTGTTCCCACTGCTGTTCTTCCCACAGTTAAGGTGTTGATTTTCCCAGCGTAAGCCCGTGAAGCCAGGGCCAGGGTCCGACTCAGTTCCATGTGCCCCTGCCGAGCTCAGGCCCAGAGCTGATATTCACTTACTCAACAAACATTTATTAAGCACCTACTATATGCAGACACTAAGCTAGGGGGACACAGCAATGAACAAAACAGGCAAAAATCCCTGCCCTCGAATTGCTCACATTCTAGTGGGGCAGTACGCAAGAATGAATGAATGAGGAGTCCATTCTGACAGAGGAGTGGACTTAAAGGTTGACAGGAGTGACCATCCCCTACTCTGCAGTCAATGAAACTTAGACAAAATATTTAATCCAAATGCCCAGAGCACAGACAGTCAGGGCAAGAGGGACTGCTGGGGACCTCACAGCCCAAACCCCTCCCAGGTCACTCTGGGGGTGTGTTTTGTGTAAGGACCTCAGGTGAGACTCTGGCTAGCCTGGCGGAGGACTGTGTGCCACAGCTCCACCCTGGCCACGTGCTCCTAGGGGTCCGTGGCCACAGCAGGCTCATTTTAGACACTGGGAGACCAAGAGTCAAAGGCTGGGGAAGGACCCACGGCGAGCAAAGGGGGCGGGGGGCTGGGGGGGTGCAGGTCCTGTGAGAGGGGCAGGGCCTCTGAGGGAAACCACAGCCCCGGGAATCTGGAGAGGGAAGAGAAGGCTCCCGTGAGGGGCGAACAGGCAGACAGAGGCCAAGTTCTAACCTGGAGACTGATCTGCAACATGACAGCTGGGGAGGCTTCATTCTAATGCCCTGACTTCAGGGTAAGAAAGTGAGACTTGGGTGTGTGGAGCCCTTCGTCACACAGCCCTTGGGGACAGAGCTGGGACTAGGAGCTCCCAACTGCACCCCTCACTGCCTGGGTACTGGGCCCCCGGGCATGTCCCCCTTCTCATCCCCACCCCTGGTCCCCTGTACTCACTGTCCCGGTCAGTAGCGCATTGCCCCCGCAGAGGTGCATGGCTGAGGCAGGGGGAGCAGAGGCTCAGCCACCTCTGCAGCGTCCCAGTCCCTCGGCAGCCCGTGACCTTCCACTGCCCTCTGGGGGCCTAAGGAAGTGGCAGCTCTTTAAATCCCCAGTGACCACTCCGCCCCCAGAGAGCCAAGTTTCAGTTTCTCCTAAAGCCACTTGCTGCCCAGAATCCCTGGCTCCGGGTTGCTCACGTGGCTGGAATTTCCTAACATGAACTGGCCTTCCGGTTGGGCCCCTTCTCTGGAAGGAGGACGGTCGAGGATAGGGAGGAGGGAAGACTGAAGGCCAGGTGTGGGGAGGGTGCTCTGGGGAAGGCTGGGCAGAGGGCCGGGGACAGAGCTGAGAGGAGAAGCCAGTGCAGACCAAGGGTGCATGTGGGGTATGGGGGAGCCCCTGGGCTCTGGAACTGGGGGAGCCCAGGTTCACAGCCCACATTGCAGCTGTGCAGCTTTGAGAAGGTGACTCACCCTCTCTGAGCCTTAGTTTCCTCATCTGTAAAAGGTATGAGGGAGATAGTACAAATACCCACTCCCAGGCTTGGTGTAGGAAGTGAGCTAGATAATATGACCACCATCCAGCCCTTTGAGACCAACGCTGAGGCACATCTGTAAAAACAAGCAATGTCCCTTACATAGAGCAGATGGATAAATTACTGTTTTCATGCAACAAACCACACGGCAGTGGAGAGAGTGACGTGTCGTGGTTCGGAGTCCAGCTTGCAAGCTATGTGACCTGGGTTCATAATTTCACCTTTCTGCGCCTGTTTCCACATCTATAGAGTGGGGATAAAAATAATTTTCTTGTGAATATTAAATGAGTTAAGGCAGGTAAGTCACGAAACCATGCCTGCTGCAGACAGAATAAGACCTCAACAAACATTCACAATTGTGATACGACATAAGATTCAAAACTGCACTTATTGTACGAAAATAGCACGCTGCAACAAGATCTGAACAATATGCTATAATTTCTATGAGGTTTAATAACATGGATACATAAATATGTAATAAAAGATAAACATACGCCTGGGAATGAGAAACAACACTCAGAGGATGGTGAAGGGAAGCAAGGGGTAGACCGAGAGGACACACAGGGACTCCGTCCACTTGTCTGTAGTGTTTTAATTGCCTACACTGTACAAACAGTTTTTGTGATATTATCTACACTTTGGGGTATACCTCAAATGTTTCATAAAAAAAACTTTTAAAGACCTAGCAAGCCCTGCGGCCCCAGGCAAACCTGAACGGGTGTCGGATCTCTGAGGAGACCGTGCCTGGATGGGACATCTGTTAGGGGATGGAGGAGCCGGCGACTCCTGTCCAAGTACAGCACGCAGAATTAGGGTCCTGTGGTCTGTGCTTCTTGGGGTTGTGCCTGAGTCCTGAGGGCTCGGGGCCGATGATGTGGGGTCACAAGGATGGCCAGCACTGCAGATAGGATCTGACGGGAACGCTGGGGATGGCAGAGAAATCATACCTATCTGACACTTGTTCTGAAGATGGGAAAGAATGAGACGAGAAGCAGCTTGTGGACACTGTAAAGCACCATCCGCACCCGTTCCCCCGCCTGACATTTGTGGTGTCATACTGCGGACGCTAGGATTAATGCAGTGTCGTCATTAAAAATGCCTGGGGGGGGCAGGACTGGGCATGACAGCTGGGCCTTGCCCTCCTTGCTTCTGAGGGGCCTGGGGGCAGAGGCTGATGTAGGACACCCCATGCAGTGAGGCTGCCCCCGTTTCTCTGAATTATTTTTGTTTCCCAGGAACCAGGAGGGCTGGGGCGTTTTGCCTGTGGTGGGCACCTGTGGGACTCATTAAGCCAGTCCCCGAGCTCCATAGGGAGCCATCTGCAGGAGGCTCGTGCATGACGTAACTAAGAAAGCACACCTGTGTGTGCACGCGTGTGCGTGTGTGGGGAGGAGGTAGGGCCTGAGTGTCCCCATCCCAGCCCCCAGCTCCAGCCCCGGACCCCCAGTCTTCCCCCTGGAAGGGAGACAGTCAGCAGGTGTGGCCCCTCCCAGGAGGCCACAGTCCTGGAAGCAGCGTTTATGGTTTGGACTCCTTGAGGAGGTGACTGGGAGCGGGAGTGGCAGGGAGGGAGGGACCGTGGAAGGTAATGTTTAACCATGAATGTCTGTGTGAGGCCCCCTTTGCCCCCAGGTGGACACCTTCCAGGCCGGCAGGGCCATCCCGCCTGACCTCGCACTTAGATGGCGTCTCTGTCTGCTCAGGCCGCTGTAACACGCTACCATAGCCCGAGTGGCTTAAACAACACACTCACTTCTCACAGTTCTGCCGGCTGGAAAGTTCAAGATCAAGGTGTTGGCAGATGAGATTCCCGGTGAGGGCTGTCTTTCTGTCTTGCAGACAGCTGCATTCTTGCCGTGTCCTCACGTGGCAGAGAGAAAGCTCTGGTCTCTTTGTCTTCTTGTGAGGACACTAATCCCACCCTCGTGACCTCGTCTAAACCTGGTTACCTGCTCAAGGCCCCACCTCCACACACCGTCATATTGAGGGTCACATGAGTTTGGGGGTGGGGGACACAAACATGTACAATATGTACTCCCAAATCTATTATAAATTAAAAAACCAAGAAAAAGAAAAAAAATGGTAGGGATTCAAAGACAGGGATGAGGTTTTTTTCCTAATGAAGTACCTTTAGAATGAAAAAAAAGTTGATTGTGTTTATGTGTGAGAAGCGGCATTTAATATCTGATGTAAATTGCCCCAAATTTCTCAGGCTTACAAAGGAGTCAACAAGAGACGGGAAATTAGGGTTCTCTGGATTCTTAGTTGTCCCTACTTAGCCCGTCACTGTCATTCATTGCCTTTTGAGTGGACTTGCCTTAATTTCACAGTGTTGCAGTAAATGAAATATTCTCTATGAGTCGCTCATGAAACCTTCGCTGAGAGGTAGGAGACCTCTGTGTTAGAGGAGTCTCTCTCCCTTATAAATTACCAAGTCAACTTACTGACGAGTCTGGAGTGCGCCAGCCTCACGCACAGCGGGACCACGCTGCCCTAGCAGTGTCATCAGGAGTCACACTCGCTCCACCTGCTCTCCCGGGGCCTGCTCCTGGTCATAAGAGGGCCACGGAAACACCAGCTTAGCGTCCCCAGGGGGAGACATACCCCAACCCTGCCACTGTCCCAGTAGTTTCAGCAAAGGCCCGAGGCCTGGCTCTCCTTGCTCTGGCTTGGGTCATGTGCCTATTCCTGACATACGTCACTGTGGCCAGAGATAAGGTGAGATCGGCAAAGCCAGAGTCCCAGGCCCATCCTGGAGCCCAGGGATGGGGTCAGCCCCGTCTAAGCCATAGGGATGACAGGTGAGGAAGGGGCCACTCCCTAGGGTACCAGGTATTGTCAGTGGAAGAAGGGTGAGTGGATGCTGGGCCGATGCCACCTCCCTGGCTCACATTCAGATATGCAGAAGCTACCACTCGACTGCACATCCCTTGCCCCAGGTCCTATCCCCAGGTGGACGGACTCAAATCCCCATGTGCCTCTGACATCGAGCCCAGCGCTCTCTTTCCATTACTCCACAGCTGCCCGAGTCGGGGAGGAAGGTCCCAGCGGTCAGAGATCCATGTACAGGAAAACGAAGGCTTGCTGAGGGGACCTTTTCAGATGAACTGAATGCTGGGCAGAGCCTGGGGCCAGTGATGTCATGGGGACTCCCCAAGGCATGAAGTGGGGGGGGGTTGGGGGTGACTTTCACTTTCAGCACAGCACGTGGCCAGTGCTCATTAAAGCCGGAGTCTGCAAATAGCTGGGACTCCCAGGAACAGGGTGACTAGACCTGAGGTTAGTTCTATGGATTCGTCCCGCCCAGGCCTTGGGGCTGAGAGACAGGAAGCAGGAGCTGGCGGATGTCCCCACACTCAGCTCCCCAGCCAAGTCCCCCGTCCTGCCGGGCCCTTTGCTGCCTCCACAGCTTGGTGCTTCTGATTCTCTGCCACTCCTTTAACGCGCACACCTTTCTGGGAAGCTGCCGGGAACTCCTGGAAACCGGCATGGAGTAGAAACAATAAACAGCAGCACTCCGAGAGTCCGCCAGCTTCCCAGGGCTTTGCTGCAAGTAGAAGTCTCGACCACAGCTCCCAGATATTCCCGGGTAGTCCAAGCCCTAGAGAGACCTGGGTTCAAATCCTTGCTGTGCCATTGCTAGCCGTGTGACCTTGGACAAGGCCATTGGTTTCTCAGGGCCTCAGTTTCCTTGTCTGTAAAATGGAGACAATACCTTTGCTTTGCCAGGACTGTCATGATGACTGAAACCACACAGGCAAAGTGGTCATCAGGGAGCCCAGAGGGAGTGCCCTCTCCCTTGTCCCTGTGTCCCTTAGAGACAGGAGGGTCAGGCTGGGCTGGGCTAGGGTGGGGAATGAAGCCCAACTCAGCCTGGCCAGCGACCTGCAATGTACCGGGCAGGAGAGCACTGCCCTTGGCAGATCCAGCGTCAGGGATGGCACCAAGGGTGCAGGGGAGATTTGGCCAAGCAGTTTGGCAGCAGGTCATGGCCAGAGGACTCTAGAGATTATCTGGTCTCCTTGCTTTACAACCGGAGAAACTGAGGCTTGGCAAGAGAAGGGGACTTGGCCAAGTACGAGGAGGTTTTGGAGCCAGGCAGATCCGGGTTCTGCCACAGCCTCAGTGATCTCTTCTCATCTTAATCCTTGCTGACCCAGCCAATGTCTCGGGGCCCTGGAGGGGAAATAATGGAGGACACCGGGTACCCCCAAAAGGGCAGGGAGCATTTGTGCCTGCCACGGACCAGCAGGAGGATTGAAGGGTGCGCTGCTGATGGGGCCTCCCAGAGGTCTCAAGTTCCTGAAGCCAGGAAAGGGATCCCACTCATCCGGAAAAAAGGCTGGGAGGGGGTCGCAGGAGAATTGGGTTCACCTGCAACTTATGTGCGCCAGGCTACAGGCAGCCAGGGGCTTCCTGGGAGAAACAGATACCACAGAGCCCAAGGAGGGCACTTTGCAAAACAAGGGACTTAAGGAACTGAGGGCCGGTGCTGTGGGCACAGGTTCTGCTCCCAGGGCTGCTACCACCTG